CAAGATGAAGCAATTTTTCGCTGTCGTAATTAGGGACATTTGCTCTATCTTTATTATCATTTTGCTTCTTTATGATTTCTGATATAAACATTCTAACATATACTTAATTGATAAAGTATTTACGTGTTTGTTCTTTCTTCATTCTCCATTTCTTCTTGCACATAACACTTAAATACTGTTGCTTTGTGCGCCGATTACAGTCAGAACGAAAAATAAAGTATGTTTCGCATTCTCCTTATGACATCATAGCGCACGACCACATGAATAAAATAATCGACTGAAGAGTATTGGTAGAAAAAACTTTTTTTTGTGCGGTAGACTATTCATAGGAAGAACAAGAATAAGTTTTTGCGTTTGAATGTTTGCTTCGCTATATACAGGTTTGTTTTACTTGTTTTTGTGCAATCATTCTTCACCGCGTGTGTAAATGATGACTCAATTTTTCTGTGTTGACGAGTGAAATCCGAAGGTATCGTCAGTGTTTTGTAATAAATATATCACCTAGGAAGTATATAACTACAGAATAGCTCTTTTGAATAATAATTTCATTCATTCCAAATTGATCTAAAAATGGTCACGAACTAGGCGGTCTTTTATTATTTTGATTCACATATACAGCACGCAGAAAAATATATCATACGACATCGAAAACTATATGGCACCATTTCTATTTTCCTCATGTATTTTTATCATTACCAAGTTGTCATCTAATACAACATGACAAGAGCATTACATTAGTATATGAAATAATGTTATTCGAGATCTTTTTGTGGGATATATTGAGGATGCTAATAGTTATATTTTAGTCCGAAAAAATATTGCATTCTAATTCTTTTTTTCTTTTATAAAATACAAATTCCATCGATTGGTTTATTTTGTGTTTAACCGATCTACTGTTTCGTTTGATATTCGAACTATTTGATCCGATCCATAAACATAAAGACCATTGTGGAACTCATGAAAAGAAGCAAATAAGAGAGATTCTTGCTCTAATGATTGATTATCTTGGAAAAGAATTACAGTCTACGAGACTTTTCATTTAAAGTATTTTTTTTATTGGTTAAGGCAAACTAAAAAAGACGTGAATTCCACATTTTAGTCCGAAACTAACTTTCTTTTATTTAAAAAGTTTTATCTTTTCTATTTCTATAACTTGATCTTGTTCGTAAAGAGCAAATATTATTTTATCCAAATTTTTTTAAATTATTTTATTTAGATCTTTTGGAAATTCTCAAATGAACATTAAGTGTATTTTTCTATTTAAAGAAATTTCAGTATCATTTGTCACTCATAGAGAGAAATAGGCAACTCTCCTCATTCACGAAAAATATGTATAAGTATGACGATAAAGTTAGATAGTAGAGACGTCGAAATATGATCATTGTCTCAGATCTAAATATTATGGAATCATCAGAAATATTTTTTGAATAATCGGAATTTTCTCTAAAAACCAATATAAATCGCGATAAAGTGGACGAGTCTTATGCGATTTCGATGACATGAGTCTGTCTCTGGCATCTAAATTACATTTTCGGTAGAATTCAACGAAAACGAGATTTTCTAAAGAAGATATTGTTAGAAAGATAGAAAATTATTCTTTACATAGTGGAGAGCAGAATATATTTTCTCTTCAGTTAGCATAGTTATTCAATAATAAAAGAACATAGTCGAATCTTGTTCCTTTCTCTTCTACAGCATTCATTAACTAGCTATTTATATGGAGAACTATTGAAAAATTTCAGAGCTGTAATCTTCACCAGTAAAAATAGCGATATTTTTTTTAATTTATCACCTTCTTTCTCAAATTATGTTGTTGAACAAAACCAAATCTTCGATGTGATTTTCATTCTTAAGAGTGATGTGAATGTGAGCATGAGTTGATGTATCAGAGAGAGAAATGAAAGTCAATCTATTGAATCAAACCTACACTTTTCTTTTAATTATATGTTTTATTGTTAAATATAGTTGTAAAAGTCGTTAGAAGCTCGTACTTATTCAATAAAATAGAATATTCCATTAATGAACTAAATTTATTCTATCTTTTAGAAATTAATTGCAACTTTGAAATTCAAAATGGCTACAAAGTATTCTATTGAAAATAAAACATTTCATAATCATCAGAGTGAAGATAATTTTCATGAATCTTCTAAAACGTTAACGTCCACTCAGGATTATCAGAAAAAGTCTACGATCACCCTTGAAGAAGCTGTTAAACCAATAGTTTTATTTGTGCCCAATGTCAAAGACAGGGCAAATGAAGCCAAATTGAAATGCAAAAACATTGTGACGAATAATCTTTCAATAGATGAATCAGCTTCAATAATGCTTTATTCAATGGAATGGAAACCAAAAGAAGAATGTCTTCGTATCGTTTTAAATCGTGCTCTTCGTGATGAAAATCGAAATGTATTAGCTTGTTGGTTCCTTTATCTGAAATTACTTCTTACCGCACTGGATCGTCTTCCATCATTCCATGGTTTCATTTATAGTGGAATAAAAGGTGATATGCGAGAATATTATCGCAAAGAAGAGACATTCCTTTGGTGGACATTTGGTTCATACACATCAGTAATGGATGATTTGAAAAGTAAACAACTTTTGGGTTCAACAGGACCACTAACTATTATTGCTATTCAATGTATTAATGGAAAAGATATTCGACAATATTCATATTTCAAAGATATTAATGATATTCTTCTTCTACCTGGACGACAATTTACAGTTGTTTCATGCCATGATAAAACGAATGGTCATTATACAATACATCTTCGAGAAGTACAATCAGAAATTTCATTTCTTGAGTTTTTATTTAAAGTAAGTTAATCAGAAATCGAAAGATGAATTCATATTTTAATTGTTTTGCGAGGATTATTTGAGAAATTTCACTTCTGATTCTATTGTTTCTCAATCCATTGGCATACCAGAGAGAAAGTACAGTGATTCATCTGAATGTACTTCAAGAAATACGTATGAAATGTAAGTTTAAAGTAGAATTTCGGTTTTTAATCTCATTGAGTACCATCTTTTAGTTTGAACTTCGCGGTATATTTTCTTTGCCCAACTGTATTTAGTTTCAAATATGACCCTCCAAAAAAATTGTTTTTCTGGTTTTTCATACTATATAATTGATGCTTGTAGTGATGATATTACCAAAAGGCATTGTTTTATTATGTTGGATTTCTTGAGATATCTTTAAAAATAGTTCATAAGAAGATAGTCTGAATTTTATCATCACAAAACGTAAGAATCTGTCGAAGAATAGAGAATTACTTTTAATAACTTTTTCATTTGAATCTCTTTCAACTGTATAAAACAAGACGTCTCTGTATTGACAATTTAATCATTCAAATGGAAATATTAATGACTATAACCTATTAATCTAAACAATACTTATTTATTTAGTTATATTAATAAAGTGGATTAATGTTTTATATTATTTTGTAACAAGTTCTTGGAAACATATCTCCTTGTAGACCATTTAATTTGTCAATAGTTGTCTTAGATTTAGTCTAGTATAATTATCATTCAGTTTAATATGACAATTCTTTTACGATGGACGTTCCTTAATATAATCTGAAATACAAAAATAAAACAAACTAAATAATTAATATTTACTGTTCAGTGATTTGTATAACTCCTATTTTACCCATAAACAGCCTTTTTCAAAGACGCAGTTCTTACCCAGATCAATGAAAAATACCGTACTCTTGCCGTAAAAAAACGTTTTCAGTACTTGTCACAAGTTGTCTAACAATCGAATAAAAAAACAAAACTAGATACTTTAATACTATTAGACTTTGTTCAATTCGACAAGTTCTCACTATCGAATTTGACATAGGATATCAAAACTTCATGAAAGTAGTTTGTATCACTAATTATTTCCTCTAGACTGAACGGATAGGATCTAGAAACAGAAATTCACCTGTATCTGTCTGTCTGCAACATGTGGTACAAGTGACCACAGGAACGATATAAAAGTGACAAGGAATAGTAGGATTGGCCATAGTGGTGATATCAATAACCACATGATGATCATTAAATCACATGATTGATCATTTATGCTATCTTGTGATTATTTATGGCATCGATATGGTCATGGTACGATTTTTAATCACATGTATCATTATGTCATTAATTATCGTCTCGTAGTTTTGAATTGTGAAGCGACAACTATCTAAACTACTTTATATTAGATCGCGCCACTTAGATGTCAAGCCTGTAATCATCAAAACTCATCAATCAACTGGGTAAGTATCTCGATACTGTATGAAATTTTCAGAAATTGTAAAGTGCATTCCACTAATTATTCTTCTTTCTAATATTAAATATACGATTATGTTTCTACAAGTATGTACAGGCCGAATAATATCAAGGTACCCTACCCTTTTGATGAGAGTGTGAGTCTAGACCTCATCGTAAATAATATCCATGTCAATACGAGTGTCTTAATCTCATACTGATATCTTTGGTAAATTACTCATAGCTTTAATATAAAGTGGCATTCTTATTAAGAGAATCAAATAAGTCTGAAGCGAAGTCAATAGAAAATACTGGAATAGACATCTCATCAGAAAAAAACGATATGGTACCCGACAAATCAAAATTACCCTCGCATATCACTACAGATTCATCATCACAATTGAAATCATACTCCAATAAAACATATGGTCTTAATAGTTCCACTAATTCAAAGATAAAAAAGCTTTTCAAACATCTGATTTCGCTTCCTCCTATGGATAAAAATGGATCAATGAGTGGTGATTGTGATTCCGAAACCACTCAAATGGAAACATTTCTTTCACAGACATTTGATTTTCAAAATCTTCCTGGTCAATATATCGTTCACGGTGTGAAATCATTTCGATTACACAAATCTCTAGATTCAATGCATCCGAAGGTTGTGATTCATTTCCCAAGCAAGACCTCGAAAACATCATTTGCAATGTCCGTCCAAGAAATTCGTGATTGGCAACAATCATACAGAGTTTATGCTGACAAGACTGTCGAAGGTATGACCAAAGAATTTCTTCTACAAGCTTTACAAGGAAAGAGTGAATGTGGAGAAGAAGCATTTCGTATGAAATTTGTTGTTCGTATTTCAACATGTCCTATTTTAATGGAATTTGATGCTCGCATAATACATCGTGAGCTTCAAGAAGAATGGCCAAACAGAATTAAACTTGTTTCAGTAACTGGTATCGATTTTGCTGGTCGAATACATGATATAAATGATATTCTTACTTATATGACTAATTGGAGGGAGGTTTATGAGATCAATGCAAAATCAGATTTGCCTCAAGTTTATCATGGAAGAGATTTTCGTCGACAAGTCAATGGCCCACGAGGAAAACTAAACAAAGATCTTCTTCTAAATGATTTGATTCGAATGGCAAGACTTCGACTACAAGCATGTGAAGAAGAAAAAGTACAGATTGTAGTTGAAACAGGTATCGGACTTGGTGTATTTGCTGGTAGAGCTATCGGAATTGATGAAACAGTAAGAGCACTTTCTGCACGTGCGATTCGACAGGTACTTGAAGAAGATGGGTCAAATTATCGAAATATACAGGCTGTCGTATTTGCTCTACCTATTTTTGATGTAGACTATCGACATGGTAAAAGACAAGATACTTATCAAGCCTTTGTTGATGAATTCGATAATAGAAAATATCAAGGCTCAATTCCTGTCTTAATTGCTGATCAAGATATGCATAGATTAACAGTAGCCATTGCTCGGCAAGAATTCATTGTTTCCGAGTTGAATCCTGCTGATTCTCATGGTGTATTTGGTGAATATTGGCAAAATCGAGGACCAGCTGTGGAAGAAAAACTAGCGTTGACTACTGTGGGTTTACTTGTACAACATCATATCATTAATTCGTATGTGCTCAAGCCAGAAAACTATCGTCTCATTTAATTGAGGACATATAGAACAGTTTTGAATGTTCAATATTTCAGATGAAAATGATAGGAGGAGAAAAATCTATTCTCATTATTAATAATCGACTTTATATTTCTAAAAAATCGTGAACCATCCATATGTAACACAGTAATCAATAAAATTTTGTCTTGCTCTTTAAATGAAGTATGACTATGTCGGATAAGAATACGAAGAAAATAGCTAATATGAG